CTATAATTTGATGTAGATCAATCGAACCCCTATATGAACAGGTACATTTTGATATATAACACTATGGGGGGTAAGCGTTTTATAGTTGGTCACGAACGCCATATGTGCAAAGTATTGTTATGAATTTTCGAATTTGGTGTTGGATTACGGTACTCATACCTTAATATGAGGCCTAAAATTGTCTTCTAGTTGACCAGAGACCAATATTCTAGCAGAATTTGAGAACAGAATCGATTTTTTCGTTCTGCGTAGGACAAACAATGATTTGAAATCACTTTCAACCATTCTGTGAGTATAAGAATGGTCATAAGAAGCCCGTGGAGGGTCATGCATGAAAGAAAGCCCTCTGAAATTCCGTCAAAATTGCAGGTTATTTCTTCATTTTTTGCTAAAATTACATGATTTTCAGGGCCTATATCTCAGTGAAATTGCTACAATGTAGCGATTTTTCATTTTTACAGGCTAGATACACGTGTCAGGTCGACAGAAACAGTAAGCATGGGTGATTTTTAAATTGCTACATTGTAGCAATATTTATTTCAAAATACAGGTATGAGGGAAACTGCAATTTAGTTAGATTTGGGCGAAAATGGCCAAATTTCAGTCAAAATCCTCGGGACACAGGGCCTTTGTCTTAGATTTAGTCAATGATGCAACTCTTAGTAGAAGGTGTGCCATATAGGGAATGAAAGCTGTTTGTCAGACGTATCATTTTCTTCAATAAACTCAGAGATAGTCAGGTTAGATTTGTGACGTCACAGTGGCAAAGTTAGACTAGCAAATTTAGACATATTTGGGGTAGGGCAAATTAACCCTTTCTAGCCTAAATGGATAAATTTTTCACATATTCAGCCAGTTCCGACGTTTTTATGCATTTTTGAACTAGAAATGATATTTTCTGCCAAAAAAAGTTGCAGAGACAAAAATCAGTGTGATGTCATAAAACATTAAGGTATGAGGTTCCATATCCATCCGCCAAAAGGTATGACCCCTATATAGTCCATTTAAAAACTCGTGGTATTGTTCTAAATAACGCCATAGTTGGCTTCTAGGGTACCTAGTATGCCACTATTTGGTATCAAAATAAAGAGGAGGAGTTCAAATTTCATTTGAATTACGAAAATAGCGATGTAGGTCATAAATAGTTCCGACGTGAGCATGTTTACTACGCGTTTGCCCATCATATCAGAATTGAGGGAGTGGTAGCAAACGCGAGTCACAATAAATGGACGCTGATATCTCAAAAAGTAACCTGACTCCCTATAATTTGATGTAGATCAATCGAACCCCTATATGAACAGGTACATTTTGATATATAACACTATGGGGGGTAAGCGTTTTATAGTTGGTCACGAACGCCATATGTGCAAAGTATTGTTATGAATTTTCGAATTTGGTGTTGGATTACGGTACTCATACCTTAAGCAATTTTATTGGCTCGAAGAATGCGCATGCGCGGTCAAATTGAAGCTACGAATTACAAGTATAAACAGGGATGTAAACTGAAGGCTAGTTTTCATACCATGATTATCACCGCCCCTCTTTAAATGTGCAATCGACTCTTCTTCTATGCGCCGGAAAATTCTAAAGTGAATAATATTCCCGTACGCTACGTGTGCGCCAATAATTAATTCGATGAATCCTCGGCTCCGACTGAGCTGACTTCTTATAGTCTAAATAGTCCGCTCAACCACTCTTACTACGCGCCAGTAAAAATCACCTATTAATCCACCGTTTTTGTTGTTGTTTTTTTTATTACACTATCTGGAGTCTATTGTTTTTGCCAGTATTCTTCTTTATTCTTATTCTTATTAGAACCTTGACATGTTCCTGGGCTACAGGGAAATGCCTTCATTTTTTTAATTAGCCCCTCCCTAATTAGCCAAGGTCAAATCGCAAATTTTTACATTTTTGCACGTACAAGGAGTAACCATTTTTATTTTTTACCCAAAATTTGCATATGCCATCCCTCTCAATTGCCATTTCACATATATTCCGGGTTTTAAAATTGGGTGCCCCAAATTTGAAAAATGGGGCACCCCAGTGGGGCAAAATTTGAAAACTGTGTATCCGATCCCAATTCTGAGCAGATATAAAGAATAGAAGCCCCTGATTCCAAATAAGCTTTCGGTTTTGGAATCCGACCTCTGAGTGACCTTGAAAAGGTCAACAAGTTCAAAAATCAAAATCGCTCAAATTGATCAAATTGGTACCATTGTATTACACTGTACTCGGATAGAGTAAATTAGGTCACCATTTTGACCTTGACCTTTGACATTGACCTTCAAATGACCTCAAAGTTGAAAACTAGGATTTTCATTCCAATTCTTTGCAAGTATGAAGTATGGATGTCCCTTGACCTCCGGGTGACCTTGAAAAGGTCAAAAAGGTTAAATTGCTAAAATTGCTCAAATTGATTCGAAATTGGTACCATTGTATTACACTGTATACATGTACTAAACTAGAGTAAATTAGGTCAACATTTTGACCTTGACCTTTGACCTTCACCGTAAAATGACGTAAAACTTATTTCTTGTTTTACCTGTTCAAGGAGCCACTGTAGTTATTTTGTGCATGCCTTACTCTTCCCATTTAACATATCTCTAGGGTTTATAATTTGGGTGATTTTCATTCCAATTCTTTGCAAGTATGAAGTATGGATGTCCCTGATTCTAAATATGCTTTCGGTTTTGGAATTCGACCTCTGCGTGACCTTGAAAAAGGTCAATTGTGCACCGAATTTGCTGCTGCGGCGAGGAACGGCATTCTACGAAATCGCCCCCGTGGCGATTTTAAATGTCTAGTTTTTATTCTTTTTATTCTTCTACCTACGTTTTCTCAGTAACTAGAAGACATTGAGTCAAGATCTGTATATGGTCAATTTAGGTCCAGTATCTAGTTTCTCGGAAATTGGGTCAATTTTTTATTTAGGTCAAAGGTCAAGAACTAGGTCAAATCCAGTACTTTGTCACTTTTTCGATTTTATCGGTCGTCCTTCAATATTTTTGATTCATGTTTTTTTCATCCTTTTCCTTATAAAAAAGTAGAAAATCTAGGGTCGATTTAGTTTTTTGGTATCTCAAACCGATTTCGAGATATCAGTGTCCGAAAACGAGGTCCAAAAAAAAGTTCTCCGAATCCAATGTCTAGGATATCAGTCTTATAGGAAATTTTCTCAGGATTCCGAATCTGAAAACCAAATTTCGATCTGACTTCCGGTTCAAAAGTTATGGCGTTTTGAAAATTCAAAAATCGCTAAATTTGGTGTCCCATGTTAATTCAATGGGAAAAAATATTTTTTTGAAGTGTAAAATACGAGAGATAGACTAAGCACAGCTAAACATAATGGGAGCCCATATAAGAAAGGGACCTCAAAACCTTCTTTTCATAAAAATTTGGACACCAAAATGCCTAGGTAAAAATCTAGGTCAAATTCAAAGTTTTTCCTTATTTTTGCGATTCTGACATTAAAGATTAATTATATTCTTCGAAATTGTGTATACATGTAGCCAAGAGTGTGCTAATAGTGTTAGCCTTTTGCCGTCAGAAAGTATTTTCACCCACTTTTGAGATATGGTGTCCGAAAAGTAGGTCAAAATAAAAAATTCTCCAAATTTAACGTTTCAGTTATGAATTACGAAAAGAATTTTCTCAGAAATCCGAATCTGCAAACCAAATTTCGATCCGATTTCCGGTTCCGAAGTTATGGCGTGTCCAAAAAGTAGGTCAGAATAAAAATTCGCCAAATTTAACGTATGGGTTATGAATTAGGGGTAGAATTTTGTCAGGAATCCGAATCTTTAAATCAAATTTAGATCCGACTTCCGGTTTGGAAGTTATGGCATTTTGAAATTTCGGAAAATCGATCTGATGGTATCCTGATAGAAAGTCAAGAGTAGAGAAGAAAAAATTGAAAAATTCATCCATCCTTCCTATCTGATCCTATCCTATCCTTCCCATCTATCCTTCCTTCGTATCCTTTCCTTCCTATCCTTCCTATCCTCTCCTATCATATCCTTTCTTCCTATTCTGTTCTATCCTATCCTTCTTTCTTATTCTATCCTATCGTTCCTTCCCATTCTATCCTATCATACCTTCCTATTTTATCCATCCATCTTATTCTGGATGACTCAGCTTATTCTGGATGACTCGGCTTATTTTAGATGACTGGGCTTAAAAAAGTCTAGATCTGGAGTCTGAAATTGAACTTCGTTCAATTTCCAAAGTCTAGTTATTATTATTATATCTTGGTTACCGCCATATTTGGCGAGCAATACCTCATTGGTATATTCCGTATCTTACGTATTTTACACTCGAAGATGAGATATTTAAGTAAAATCTACTGGAATCGATAAATTGAAGTAGGAAGAATGAATTTCCTCAGGATTTATCACTTAACTGGTGGTAAAACTGTAAGAAAACGGCCTAAAATAAAAGTAGAAATAGTTCGGCAGAAAGTGAAGACCGGAAAAAAAGTAAAAACAATATACTAAACAATACAATTAGACAAACAGAATATCTTATGTATTTCTAGGGGTTAGATATAGTAGAGTGTGTATAGAACTAAGGCAGCTTCCAGATAATTCCAGACAGGAACTATTTCTAGAACTCCATCTTGATTGGACATCTCTAATGACATGATTTAATCTGAGCAAATGTTTACTAGTTTCAAAATGTTCTAGAAGGTCAAGGGTTAATGAGTTGTTCATTTCAGTTTTATTTACAAGATACAATGTCATTGTGACCTTGACCTAAGATCTCAATATAGATCAGTTACAGTATATATAAACTAAACGTCGTGTGAATATATGATTAATAGACTCATGGGCTTTCAACTAGATGAAAGCCCATGATAGACTATAGTACTGTAACATTAGATGATCTTTATTCTAATCTGAATGGGAATTGAATTAATTAAAACAACTAGATTGAATAAACTCTTAAACGAATATAACCTGAGAACGAAAAAAATATAATACACATTTATTCACACTTTATAGGTCGATGTATGGCTGTGCTCTGCTAACAATTGCCTTCTCTAACCAAGGTTAGTATTATTTTAACTGATACCGTTTTGAATGACACCGTTTTATTCAGTCCCACATTGTATAACCTCATATCTTTTACTACTTTTTTCAACAACACAACTGTATTTAGTACCAATTTCACGATATTGTACCACCGTTTTAGTACAAGTCTATAGAGCATCATTTTATTTAGTACCAAGTTGTTCAGCACCAACAAGCAAAGCAGTATTTGTCTGTTACAATCAGAAATGCAACTCTTATTACGCGTTCATATTTGAAGGCTCACTCGTTTGATATTCTGTGCAGTTCCTTCCTTTTTTGAACTGTCTTAAGTTTTTCTCCGTGTTTACTATGTTTTTCTTTCGTGTATTTATTGTTAACTTACTTTACAGATGTTTGGACCAATTATTTACTATTCCCGGCTTTCTTCTTTCTCCAATACGGTGGACTCTTTTTGTTTGTCACGAGTTTGCAGACTTCAGGCTTGTTCCCAGGAAGTAGATCAACCATACTAGCTGCATACAATGGTCTGTATGATGCAAGCGCTTCTATTGCCATAGTATTTAAGGTGGGTATTAAAGCATAACATCGGATCCTTCCCCAATTCTCATGTTTTACCATCTCCTCACAATCCCCCACCCCATATTTAGCTTTTGGATACTTTTAAAGAATCTTTTCTGGATCGCCATTGATATTCTGTCCAATATATGCCCCCCCCCCCATCCTAAGCTTTTGGATACTTTTAATGAATCTTTTCTGGATTACCATTGATATTCTGTCCAATATATGCCCCCCCCCATCTTAAGCTTTTGGATACTTTTAATGAATCTTTTCTGGATCGCCATTGATATTCTGTCCAATTTATGCCCCCCCCCCATCTTAAGCTTTTGGATACTTTTAATGAATCTTTTCTGGATCGCCATTGCTATTCTGTCCAATAAATGCCCCCCCCCCATCTTAAGCTTTTGGATACTTTTAATGAATCTTTTCTGGATCGCCATTGATATTCTGTCCAATATATGCCCCCCCCCCCCATCTTAAGCTTTTGGATACTTTTAATGAATCTTTTCTGGATCGCCATTGATATTCTGTCCAATATATGCCCCCCCCCCCATCTTAAGCTTTTGGATACTTTTAATGAATCTTTTCTGGATCGCCATTGATATTTATCCAATATATGGCCCCCCCCATCTTAAGCTTTTGGACACTTTTAATGAATCTTTTCTGGATCGCCATTTATATTCTGTCCAATATATTGCCCCCCCCCCCCCATCTTAAGCTTTTGTATACTTTTAATGAATCTTTTCTGGATCGCCATTGATATTCTGTCCAATATATGCCCCCCCCCCCCCATCTTAAGCTTTTGGATACTTTTAATGAATCTTTTCTGAATCGCCATTGATATTCTGTCTAATATATGCCCCCCCCATCTTAAGCTTTTGGATACTTTTAATGAATCTTTTCTGGATCGCCATTGATGTTCTGTCCAATATATGCCCCCCCCCCATCTTAAGCTGTTGGATACTTTTAATGAATCTTTTCTGGATCGCCATTGATATTCTGTCCAATATATGCCCCCCCCCATCTTAAGCTTTTGAATACTTTTAATGAATCTTTTCTGGATCGCCATTGATATTCTGTGCAATATATGCCCCCCCCCCCCATCTTAAGCTTTTGGATACTTTTAATGAATCTTTTCTGCATCGCCATTGATATTCTGTCCAATATATTGCCCCCCCCCCATCTTAAGCTTTTGGATACTTTTAATGAATCTTTTCTGGATCGCCATTGATATTCTGTCCAATATATGGGCCCCCGCATCTTAAGCTTTTGGATACTTTTAATGAATCTTTTCTGGATCGCCATTGATATTCTGTCCAATATATGGGACCCCGCATCTTAAGCTTTTGGATACTTTTAATGAATCTTTTCTGGATCGCCATTGATATTCTGTCCAATATATGCCCCCCCCCATCTTAGCTTTTGGATACTTTTAATGAATCTTTTCTGGATCGCCATTGATATTCTGTCCAATATATGGGCATGTCGTGGTAAAAAAAATTCAAACAGCCGCCATTTTGTTCACTTCAACATTTGAATCATGGTTTTTGATTTTATTTTCCAATGAAAAATTCCAGAAAACACAGAAGCAATGATCGAGATATTGGTTCGAATCTTTTGGACTGTTTGTATTGAATTTATAGTCGATTATAATTTCAGAAAATAACGACATTTCGACGTTTTCATTGTTGGAAAATATCGAGTTTCGATCCTGGGAGCCAATCATCCTTGCATTTATTTAAGAGGTCATAGATATCCCAATGAGCGATAATTCACAGCAAATGTAAATGAATGTTAAAAACATATCTTCAAACTTTGCATTGGGCCTTTAAATATGTTGAATAAATAAACACTCTTGGATATCTAACAAAAGGCAGTTAAGGAAAGACAAAAAAACATTACTACGCATAATATAATTTTGTAACATTTCTAAATGAATGGATTTGCCAAAACTATGTTATACCTGTAAAGAACTACAATGCAATAATTTAGAGAATGTTAGAGTATATAATTCTAAACATAGAAATCTACCTTACCTTTCGGCTTGTCTATTTGTTCTTCTATGATACATTGTAACATGATTGGTCTTCGTTGTGCCTCCAGCTTCAGTACGAGAATGGGATTCCCTTGTCTTCTTCCTTGTATGTGTTCCTGTCTGTCTTCTTGCCAATCACACTCCTGGGGACGTTCATATTTCAACCTCGGAAGCATATCCATTTGGACAACAACGGGAGACATCCAATGGCATTTACCATCTTACAACGAATGAGAGTAGCCAGATATATAGCCACAAATGTTGCGCGGGATGAGGAAGTCCAAAAATCCTATTCGACAGATGGAACAAAGGATTGTGCGCCTAGTGAGAGTAGGGCTGAACTCCAAGGATACACGAATAAAGCATTTGAAGCACCAAATGAAGCAAATCTGAGTGGTCGTGATATCCGTCCAACTGAATCAAAAACCGATGATATAAAAACGATAAGTGAGTGTCGACCAAAAGATTTGGTGATCGAAGATTCAACAGCCAATAGTAAAGAAGCGACCACGGACTGTAGCAGTTTGCCAATCAAAGCTACATCCAAAAATAATACATCTGATATTGAAACAGATAGGCTTTCTAAAATACTGTTTTCACCATTATTTCTATGGAATATATGGACATTTTCTGTATTGAATTTGAGGAGTCAATACTTCTTCGTCTCGTTCAACTCGTGGATTACAGATCTGAGTGCTGGCGATAGAAACCAAGGTATGAAGTTAGTTTGAACTAATACATTACCTGATTATAGATTACAACATGTCTTCTTGATCAAGTCTGAGAAAATATTCATGGTAAAAGATGTGACTCTTTAAAATCATTTGGCATACCAACCTCGTACATTTACCTAACTTGGCCTTATTTCAGTCACCTTGCACACGTCCGTGTTCACTGGAACGTTGGCCTTCGGCTTCCTTGTCAGCCCCCTGGCGGGTTTATTCATCGATGCATGGAGGAAAAGAGAAGATGGGGGCAGTCCACATACAAGTTAGTTTGATTCCTTGTTCATAATTCGTTAAGTAGCCATACATCAACTACATCAAGCCATCCCCCTCCCATCTAGCAAGTCCTTGATCCATATGCCAAGCTTTATCGTAGCTTCAGATCCTATACTAATACACTTTATGATCATATGTTTTAGGTTTTGACAAGACGTTTTAATAGCAAATTCTCATGAAATTATAGAATACCTGCGACCCTACATTTACATATTCACAACGGAGGCTGCCATGAACGTTGTCCTCAGCATATGTACGATGATACCAAGTCTGAATGCTCAGTACTTTACATATATTGCGTTTGTGACATCCCGGGGATTCCTTTATGCCGTCAATGCTGCGTTCATCTCAGAAGCGTACGTATATTCAAAACATCCTATTTAATTGCTTTGTGGAATCACACCCTAATCTCCTTTATCTGTGGTTTTTGACACTACTCCCTTCCTTGATTTACCACCTGTACATTTTTTGTTTAATTGTAGAAACTTTGCGCTTATAATAAGATATGATTATGCATGATATACCTAGGACCAAAATGCGTACTAAAAATCATTTGATTATGAGCATAGTAGTGATGTTATGAATTAAAATTATAGTGAAAGTGAAAGCATGAACTTAAAGAGGCTCTATGCCATAGGATAGCACAATCAAGACCCCTTTGGACTTTTTTGCATATTGAGTTTCACCACATATTCTCCCATCTACTTACCAAAGAAAAAGTCCCAAAACCCCCCTCTTTCAGTGTAAATTTTGCGATTGTGCTGGCCGATTTAATTATTTTCGCGGAAATTAATTCAATCTGAAGTTTGAATATACCGGGAAAGTCTTCCAGTTATCTGATTGGTCGTTGAATTTGTTTGTTATGACCCTGATTGGCTGCCTGGTTCAAGGCGCTTTTGGGCGATTGTGTAACCCAATGGGGATTTCCCTCGCTAGCCGAGGAATCGATTGTGTTTAATTCTGGAGGTTGGTTGTTCTGTTGATTATTTCAGTATCTCGACAATAATATACCCAAAAGTTATTCTGAAGATATATCCATGGTATATGAGATATTATATGAGCAATAGCAATAGGACATCATTGGCTGTCTAGGGGAGAAACCTATACTAAAATGCATCTTTAATCGCGAGACCCAGAAAAATGCGACACGATTAAAGCAAGACTAGATGTAAAATTTCTTGAAAGAATTTTTGACTTTTCGAAATAAAGACAGAAAACTAATTATGATGGGCCCAAAGGATTTTGATAATTAGCATAGGATAAATATAATAGCATAGTATTATCATAGTATTATCCTCTATTCGTTTACATCATTGCAGTATGTGTGTGCTTGTTCTCTTTCACAGATTTCCACAGAAGCATTTCGGCAAGTTGTTAAGTGCTTCATTTGCATCAAGCACCGCTGCTAGCGCATTGCAACACCCGATATTTATTGGTGCTGAATCGCTCGCCAATGGCTTCCTTATGGTAAGTAAATATATTAAAAGTGTTACGATACAAGCCCCCTCCCCAGAAATGATGTTGGTACGGATAGCACCCCCCTGAAATAATACAATCCTAAAAGACCCCACCTACAGATTGCTATATAGCAAGTAGGTTGATCCCCATTACGTACATTTTCAAATGATAGACCCTGCAATATTGCCCCGCGTGCATTTTAGATAATGGCAATCAATCCCCCTTATTGTAACCCATGTATTTCTAGATAATTGTTGTATATCCCATTACTGCATGGCATGCATTTTTAGATAATGCCAATATATCCCCTTACTGCTGCATCAAATCCATTAAATATAATGGCAATATATACCCTAATTGTAGCACATGCATTTTTAGATAATGGCATTATATCCCCTTACTGCATTGCATGCGTTCTAGAGCTGCCAATACACACCCGTAAAACCTGCATTTTTGATAATGGTTATATATCTCCTTACTGCGTCCCCCCATACACACACAAAAGAAAAAGCAATTTTGTAGAATTTGTGGAATAAAACATTAAAAAATTATAGTTCGGAATCCTTTTAATCCACCATATACAACGGAATTGTGAAAAATCAAAGGGGGTTAACCGCCACTTCGGCTTCCGCTTCGGCTTCGCTCTCAGTGATGCAAACCCATAAGATCACACCATCCCTTGCATTCATAGTATTCTGATTAGGTAAGCTAAAGGCTGGATGTAAGAGTTATAATCTTTAAGAAGTTTACTCAAACTTGAGGTCTTCAAAGGATTCTTAAAAGGATATCAAATATCGTCGTATGAGAATAATTATGTCCCAAGTGCTATTTATCTCCTCTCAATAGCCTGCTTTTCAGTGTCAAATTGTCCAAACTCCATAAAAAATTCAAAATACCATTCAACTTTTTTCTATGTTTCACTTTAACCAATCAAATTGTTTGAATTACACCATGTGACTAAGAATTATTATATTACAATTTTAAACTGAGAAAATTGGCCTAGAAAATCTTAAAATTCATGAATTTTTTAGTGTATATACACAAATTTTTGATTAAAAGAATGTCAAAATTTCACAAATGACAGATAGATAGGATTGAAGTTACAGATGCCTAAACTGATTTTTTGGTTTCACAAAAATGTGGGTTGGGACATTTTTTCTCATAGGGCGATATATCATCTTCGTTCACTCGGCTCCCGTCGGTCGATGAACTCAGTGAAGACCGAGCGTGCGAAGATGGCGATATTTAGAGGTTATGTCACTATGACGTGAAATATGCCTGAGTTCTCCCAATATAGGCCGACCTTGGGAGGCTCTATATTTGGGCAAGAACGAAGGCATATTTCACGTCATAGTGACATAACTGATGTATTACATGCCTTTGTTCCCATGGTTACTTTGTATCAATGACGTGACGTCATGATATTATCATGGTTATTAAAGAAATCTAATATCAAAACGAGGTAAGCGGGCTATATCGGGGTAATCGGGCAATATCGGTGGATATAGCTCGCTAACTTTCCCATTGACTTCCATACAAATGCTTCGCTAGGTATGTAATACATTGTGATATATTAATATTGTGAAAAATATCTTTTCTATTCTCTTGAATGCCTGTATTGAATAAACTCACCGAATGGGACTTGTTTATGTTGCTCTATAAATCATGAAAGAAGAATTAAACAAATAGCGTCGAGGATAACGTGTGTCTCAGTTAAAGTGAATGTCACAATGTGATAAGAGGGCTGATGTCTTCAAAGTGAAGCATAAGTAGGAGACGGACCAATGGCACGGTGACCAAGAGTTAACAGTGCAAATCGGCCCGGTCGTGTTTTTTTAAACTTTTTAGTCGTGTTTTGTAAGAACATGGGATGCGACATTCGATAGAATGGAGCAAAATGGTAAGAATATTCTATATTTTACAAACTTACATATCATGACTTCTACCTAAGATGTTCTTCTTCATACCCACGAGTCTATTTTGGGGATAAATCCATCATACTTCATATCAATCGCAATTATATACCAAAAGTGCCAGAAATATGTACTTAATTTGCATTTAGTGTTATTTAATCAAGTTTAAACAGACAATCCATTCAACAACGTGGAATAATATTCACTACTCAAGATCGTGTAAATATTTTAACTGTATTTATCTTAAAATTGCCATAAATGACCGTAAATGTAGAAAGTGGAGTTAACTATAGAGAAGGGACAATATAACGTCATGGACGTGTCTTATAATAAGCATGTTAACGTTTTGGAATTGTAAAGATAACGTTTTAGACGTGATAAAATTAACGACTTTGAATTGTCTTGTAATATTGTTCACATTGACCATGTTTTGTTGCTTAATAATTTGTCTGTGCTTCTGAAAATAATCATATTAGTACTAAACACGGGACATTATGTGTCACCCGTTTATTGTAATTTGTAGTCAAGATATGAATAAATAAGAATAAATAAAAAAGACAGATATATGATTTAACAAGATCAACAGATGTTGTAATTTAATTCGCTAGAAAACTATGCTACAGTACAGTTCATAGATCACTCTTAGAACGATAGCAGCATATGTAGCGTTTTTTACCTATTGCAATTTGAAAATTAAAATTGAAATTGTATTGCATTGTGTGAGGCGAATTAGGGAATAACATCGAATCAAATTGTTAAAAATCCTGAGGCAAACCTAATAGATATTGAGCATACGATTTTAATAACGGTGGAGTTATTCCTTACATTAGATGATCATATATATGCATTTACATGTAGTGCATCACAAACTAAACATTTCCTCTCATTTTGAATAAATTTATTTACGTTCATGACAGGGAAAAGTAAGTTTAAGGCCAATAGGGACGTTTTAAAACGTATTTGAGGCAAATTCAAAATAGCAACGAGCCATTTAATGAGCGACAGGGCAATTAAAAAATAATATGACTGGTCAAATTTTCAAAATGACGAGCGACGAGGCAAAGCTCGCTTGCATTAACCATGCGTGTCTGATTCTAACCATTTTGATTCAAGTATCAAATTCGGTTGTGATCCCATAGATCAATCTTGACATATTATGTCGTATATTTGATTATTTTTAATCATTTATAATTAAGATAGTGTCACTCAGACAACAACTTCTTCCACATTGTGATCATTTTTTGGGAAATACATAATGTTAATTGTGCTGTTTCCCACTTCCAAATCGTTAAACCTCAATGTCTCTACACGTCTAGAACGTTTCACTAACAGGTCAACGTCATTAACCGCAATCTTTTCAACACGTCTAAAGAGTTTAATCTAAAAAATATTATTCGGTCAATTGCTACTTATTTAAGCTCTTCTAACTTTTGATTTTCGCACATATTGTGAATGCTTTCCTTATGAATCGATGTATTCATTGAATACAACTCAGGCAAGTGATTTTCAGGCAAAAATATGTATAACACTGACAGAATTGCTCATTTCCCGATATAACAAGACTATAGCATACGATTCGTGCAAATAACACGTTTACGAATACCTGAAGTTAAGATATATAGTATGGAAAGCAATATAAATTACTTACTTTTACATAAAGTCAAGTGACAGCAATTTCATGACCAAATTTATCAACCTACCTCTCAAATTTTCGACAAAACACGACTAAAGAGTTTAAAAAAACACGACCGGGCCGATTTGCACTGTTAACTCTTGCTCACCGTGAATGGTATAAATTACCTGTAAATGTGATCGTAAATGTAATTAAAGACCCTCCATTCCAATACCCCAATCCTACACTACTCAAGGGAAAGATCAATACCCGGTGATTTCAGCGGGAAGTGGCGTTTCGTTCAGTGGATGAGCTGCGCGCGCACGCATAAATGTGATTATCCAATATAATTAGGGGAGGGCTATTTGAAGTAGTTTTTGGTCTCAGGCGCGACCCAGGGCTGTTGTCTTAAGGACATTTCGTTGAAAATGAGCCATTCGGCTGATAATTGGTAAGAGTTTGCGATCTTATAATGTATAACTGTTACTCAGACACATATTTTGACACGATTCTGTTGGAAATAAGCTTTGAACCGAGAGATATTCACGATTGATATGCACATTTTTGATTGTGCCATTGCTTTTCTATTGCACAACCCATGTATTGATAGAAGAAACATTAATAATACAGATTGGTTTACCTTCAATACATGGCAGACACTACATATCGGTATATTAATACCAGTTTGTGCCTTAAATAGTTTTATATTTCCATCCACGGCCTGGAGCCTGGGTGTGTTTGTCTCTTATGTGTATGCTTGTGCATGGACTTCTAATCACTAGCAGAATTTAACATGATGCAAACTCGACATTATAACTCATGCTGTAACATTTTGACTTCGCTGGAAAACAATAGGAATTATTTTTCTTGCCAATCAATCATGAATCACAATCAAAATTTCAGAATGATCAATCAGGCAATGATCCAAATCAAGTTATAACATTATATGATATTCAGCAAGAAGTCCGGTAGAAATACAGAATATTTAAACATCAAAGCTGAAAGTTAAAAGCTAATCTGTCAATTTTCTGTCTGCAAAAGAGCGTCCCAAGAGCGTTTACATTTGACACAATAACAGACTGAGGCCTTGAAATCTAGGATTCCCCAGGAAAATATGACGTCATACTAATTAGCATAAGGATTTCCCTATTGGGGTGGGTCGAGCCTTGTTCGAAAACACAATCCATAAATACATGCTAATTTCTAAGGAGATAGGAAGTGTATAACGTGTTTATCGATTTTGTTTAAAGATTTAATCAATTATCAAATTGTTTAAGTGGATAAAGTGGTCACACTTGCTTCAATTCATAGCGAAATCGACGGATAGAAACTGACCGAATTCCCGATATCCTACCCCGTATTACTGTAGGCTATAAGCATAGTGACCTACAGAGGGCGCTATCACAAACAAGTACTGGACGAACCGATAAATTCCCGGGTATTGTAACGCCCTTGCACTACTCGAGACACATAATTTGTTTGAC